GCGCGTTGGTCTCTTAGACCGACGATTATCGTTCGCCGTATTTTTTTCTAAAACGGGAAACGTATGCTTTTAGCTTTGGGCTCACTGCTAGGGGCGCTTTCCCACTATGTCGTGACGACAGATTGTCATGCAGTTTACAGTGTCGTGGCTTGTATATTTAAATGAAGTTGTTCACATATAGCACGACACAATTAACTGTCGTTCACGATTTTTCCCACTGTGACGACAAACTGTCGGCACAGTAGGGAAAACAGAACAGCTAAAACGACAGTCGTCTGACGATAAAAAAGTTGCGACAGATTGTCGTCACGTTTTATTTATCGCTGTCCGCACATATTTTGCTCCCTGTCCTCCACTCTCGTACCCCGCGCCCTCTGCTCGCTTTGCAGTAGCGTTGGGTCGTAGCCAGAGATGGGCAAGCGCCTGGGTTTTACCCTGACGCTTTGTTAACGGGTTTAAATCGGGTAAAACCCGAAATAGAGGGCAAAATCTATTTACGTCTAAATATTTGTTGTGAATTGAGATTTGTTCAAATTTAATTATACATATTATTACAAAATATTTGTTGCTTTATTATCAGGACAGTTCGATTTAACTTTCTATTGAATAGATTCGCTTGAAAACTTCATCAATAAATTGATACAAAAAATCGTTAGATCGTATGCACTTGAATCAATCTTCATTGAGAATCCACAGGATTGACAGGTGGTGGGTATTATGTGGAGATGCCTCTTCTTCATGTAATAAAAATATAGAAATTTGTTACAAGTTATTGTATATTATGTTGTTAGTGTTGGAATTATACCAAATTCTGTACTCTTCGTTTCTGCCTACGATTTTGGGCAGAAATGGGTTAAAACTCGGCGCTTCGGGTAAAACCCTGGTGAAAACACGGGCGGGTTGATTGGATTTTAACCCACTGCCCATCTCTGGTCGTAGCAGGTTTTGACAACACCGAAAAGAAACCAACTTCGTATACCGTTTGACGTAACCCTAATGAAATTCTTTTTAGTAGCATTGGATGTACCCAAAACTTTCTTTTCTTTGTTTACTTCCTCTTCCGCATTTTTCAAAAGTAATACATTATTAAAATTTCGTCTTCATCCATTTCGAGCGAACACACACTACCGGCTTCCAAAAGACCACAAGCGACTGCAGTGCATCAAACGATTCTGTCGTGCAAACGACAAAGAGGCTGTCGTGAAACGATAAATTGTCGTCACGATCTAGTGGGAACAGCTAGTCACGACAGTCGTTCAACGATAAAAAATCGTCCACGACAGATAGTCGTGATTTAGGAACAGGTTAGACACAACAGTCGTCTAACGATAATAAAACGTGACAACTTGGTGGGAACGGCCCTGACAGGAGTATTCGTGCATACAACACGTGTACCCGTACACGACACCGATCGGTCCCTTAGACCGACCCGGGTATATTGTCAAAGTTTTAGGTAATTAATATTTTTAGTACTTCCTATAGATATGTATTACTTTTCATTACAATGGAGTTTACATTATGTATTATATTTGTAACAAACACGTGTATGAGCAACCAAGGTTTTTGGAAAAGAATGACTCTGATTTCAACTTTGAGAGCGAAAATAAGAGGGACTTTCAGGAACATATAGAACCGCAGCAAGTAAGAAATGATACAAAGCAGTAGATAGTTGTGAAAGTGAGGAAAAGTTTCTAGACTACTACCTAGGCCAAGATAGTCAAATTAAGTATAATAAAAATGCTCCTTCGATGACAGTAAGAAGTATTTTTGAGCAAGATATGTTTTTGTATGCAACATGCTATTTAGTTTATGGTTTCTAAAATTTTTATTATTCTTTAATATTTCACAGTTTTCTTTATTTTGTTACTATAAAAGACGAATGCAAGACAACCTGACGTTATTCTGTGGAAAAAAGCTTATCATTCAAATTATACACAATCCAGCTCCAATTAGTGAAAATTTATAATAATTTATTTTACCATCGACGTAGGTACCGGTCCCGTGTGGTCAATATTTGTTTTTTGCATTTCCACCAGCCGACAACAATCAAACAAGTAAAGTCAATGTTCAAATTTGAAACAATTTTATATGCGCGGTCGAACATCGAATGTTTTAAAATATGCATGTTTATTTTGTTCATGTTTATTTTGTTCATTCCATATACTGTAAATTGTTACGTTCATTAGTGGCAGGTAACGATGCTTATACAGCACATACATTATACATTAAAACCCAGTAAAAGCTGATTGAAGACCATTATTTAACTCAATATTAAGTTATGAAGCTTTACTTTATTTGCTATCAGAAAATTAAAAGAAATAATTGTAACATTTTCATTAAAAAAACCGACCTCAAAAGTTCGTAGAATGGTATGGTATGGTAAAATGGTACACACATTTGACAATTTCAATTTTTATTGAAATTGGTTACCAGTTAATCGGTCGAAACCGACATTGACTACAAATAACGCACGCACTCATAGAGAAACCCTGTATCGCGGGTGCCATGAACACACACATACACAACCACAAATGACTAAACTCACGACAGAAATAAATGTAGACCGCCCCGGGTATCGAACCCGGGACCCCTGCGTAGCAATCCAGCATAGTAACCGGTCGGCCACAGAGGCAGTTATCGGTATCGCCACGCGCCTATCTCAAGAGCTCAGTATATTTGTGTCGAAATGGAAGATGATTTAATTTGTAGTTTATCACTGTATTCACAGTCTAAATCTATAAAATTATTACTATCGAAATCCTCAACTTTAATTTGTCAACAAATTCACGTGTTTAATCCCCGACTATACCTAGCAGAGGAATTTGGAATCAAAAATATAAAGAAAAGTGCTGTTACAAAAGAAATATTTTACTAACTGTGTAAATGGCATATAACTCCGTTGAGAAAATGTTCACCAATCATGCACCACTACTAAGTTGATCTAAAAATCCTCAAGTAATCGATTTTATTTTGCCGTTACTACTAAAGAAAATGTTTTCAGATACAAAAAAAATCTCATAATACATTCTCTTAAAAATCTCAACAGCTACTTTTGATTCTTTGACTTTGACTATCGTTCACATTAACTGCAACAGACGCTTGCAGTTGAAATCTCGACTGCAAGCAGTTGTAAAAGTGGTTTGACGAATCTCGAACTAAAATACCCGTATCGGCCCGTTCTAAGGAATCCCGAGTCAATCCAAGCACGCCGCCTCAAATTGCCTACCCGTTTTGTGGCGGCCATATTTACAGAAACAAAATCAAACGAAGACGTGGCTCAAAAAACTTGTATCCAAGCCAAAATTACTAATAAAAAAATCATTATTCCTAACTGATACGTCATTTTGACAACGACATTAACTGTTGTTGTCAAAATGACGTATCAGTTAGGGATGGGCAATTGGAAAAAATATATCGATAAAATTTCGTTCCGATATTTAAAAACAGTATCAATATTTATCAAGATACTCATTATCAGTATGTCGATATTTTTCCGAAAACCGTAACCCATACAATATTCCCAAAATACATTTGTCTATTAAGTATGAGCATAAAGTAAAATTCAGAAAATTAAAGATACATACGTGTTGAACTTATAGTAAATTTTGTTAAAGAAATTCCAGTTAAAAAAATACATTCGTAGTCATCTGCTGCAAGATATCACTCATGTTGAATAGGCTTGGAGGCTACGCCAAGAGTACCAAATGTAACAAAAGGTTTATTATTCGGTTTAGTATTTATATACCTATTTCTTTTTTTAGTTCATAAAGCGACGCTCAGCAGTCTGTATACTGACAACACCACGTCAAGCTTTACTTCTTTCTATAATATCAAGTGACGGGACGACTAAGTCGTGCGCCTGAAGGTAAGCTACATGCCTGTCCCTAACGATTGCAGTGTCATTCAGAGCTTTAAATCGCAAAGATCTGAGGGGCACTTCCCTGCGCCCGATACCCTGAGACATAAGTTGAGAAGTCCCATATGCTTGCAGCGGAAATAAGTAAGGTGGCAATACTGCTACTAAAATATACTTTTGCTCGAATATGAACAAAATCCGTCAATGTTTAGCTTGATATGCTGTCATCTTTATGTTGGTATTATTCTGAAATATTCATACGACATATCTTATATATATGTATATTTACAGAACATACACATAAAAAATATCTAAATTGATACCGGAAAGTAAGTTTACCGGTAAGTTTTTTTGACGAATTTTTTGACGATTTGCTACAATGACTTTACATTTAAAATAATTAATTAGATATTCTAATTACCTATAATGTTTAATTGACATATGTTATTTATTAACTAAACACCTAATCATCTTAAAGTTATACCAAATTACACTAAATTTGTAAATCATTTGAACCAAGTCATGTAGCAAAATGTTATTACAGTATTGCCGAATTCTTCGATGATATAGATAAATAATGTACCGAAATCTTCAAATATTTTTAAATGTCATCACAATCTTTGAAGGGTATATAATGTACGCGTTAGTATGTTCCTAAGCACTAATTTACAATTTAGAGTTTAAATGCAAATAAATAAATTGAATTTTGATAAATAGATAGATATGAATATTAAAAGACTTAAACAGTTGTATATGAAACTCTAATTTATATTACCATGGTTAAAATATGTACTATGTCATAAGTGTATTTTGCTTTGCTACGCCCTTACAGGGTCTCACATGTAGTTCCTACCATAGTTCTAAGTTTGTGTACACTTAAGACTATATGTGAAATGCAAATAAATAAATAAATAAAATAAATAAAAAAGTAATATCGATAATATATACCGATAACTTCATGAAAAAATATCGATATTTTGATACATCTATCTATGTTTTCTAACTCTAGTCTTTTATAAAGACGAAATATTTGTTGACATTTTGTGTTGAAAAGAAATTGTTGAGATATCGTATAGGTAGGACCTTTATTTATATTAAAGAGGCTCTTTTTAATTACCACTTGGACACCATAATACGTCACACTAATATGGGTTAATATAGCACAATTTTTCTAACCTGGTTTTTCTAATGGTTAGTGCACATTCGACTGGTATTGTGCAGTTTTTTAGTGTACTTTATCGCAAAATGTGTTCGTCAGCGTCCGTGCTATTGCCGCCAGTTGGTGTCCGCGGGATGAAAGTGCTCGATCGTGAGAAATTTTCTCGTAACATTCAAGTTCCCATCCTGAAGGTTACTGAAAAGAATCTCTCCAAAGTTATCACTTTATGCAAGACCTATTTCCTAAAAGTAGAAAACTTCAAACCAGTTCAGAGTTGTCAGGACGCGTCATTCAAAAAATGCATATTTTTCAACCCTGAAAAAATAAATGATTGGACGGACATATCTGAAGACGATCGAACGGCTCTCAGCAACCTTGGCATTGATAAATCCAACTTCGATATCCAAGAAGTCCAGCTTTTATATGAAAATTTCAAGTATGATACAATTTTCAAAGCTGTCCTTCCAGAGCAGGAAGAAATTGTAAGTGGCTTTTCTCAAATTGGTCATATCATTCACTTGAACCTTAAAGAACATCTCTTAGACTATCGTCAGTTCATTGGACAAGTTCTACTTGACAAAGTTAAGACTTGCCACACTGTGGTTAATAAAAGTAATACCATTGACAATACATATCGTAACTTTAGTATGGAGGTCATAGCAGGCGCAGAGAACTTCCTAGTGACCGTCAAAGAAAACGGATGTAAGTTCAAGTTTGATTTCTCCAAAGTCTATTGGAACCCCCGTCTCAGTAAAGAACATGAGAGGATCTTAAGCTTCTTGAAACCAGGAGATGTCCTATTTGACGCATTTTGTGGCGTCGGACCGTTTTCTTTACCAGCTGTGAAATGTAAATGCAAAGTTTACGCTAATGATTTAAATCCGGACTCTGTTTTATGGTTAAATCATAATGCTAAATTTAATTGTGTAGATCCAAATCTATTTAAATCATATAATCTGGATGGTAATGACTTTATTAATAAAATATTTAAAGAATACTTAATTGAATATTGCAAAGGCAATGAGACACTTAGAGAAAGTGCAAAGATACATATTACAATGAACTTACCAGCTATGGCGGTTGAATTTCTATCAAACTTCAATGGATTAATCAAAGACAAGGAACTTCTTGACAAATTAGATAAAGAAATACTTATCTATGTATATTGTTTCGTTGTTGGAGATGATCCGGTGACAATTTCAAAAGAAATGGTGAATAAAAACATAGGATGTGAAGTTACAACAAACATTGTAGATGTTTTTGATGTAAGAAATGTGTCTCCAAAGAAAGAGATGATGCGTGTGACTTTGAAGTTGACAGCGGATATTCTCTTTGGTGTTAATAGTGATAATGATGAACCACCCATAAAAAAAAAGTGTACAGATAAGGACAATTAAAGATTTTTATGTGTGTATTTATACTCTTTTTAAATGTAATGTTAAGTCAAGTTTGATTAAATCAAACTTAATTATACTGTTTTGGATGGAACGTTAACACCAATTATAAAGTGCAATCTTTATATAGACTTTTAGGTTTTCGCGATTGCTACTCATTGAAAACTATACTATATTATTTAGATCTAAATATTTGTTTTTTCAAACAAACCAACATAATA